AAAATAGTCTTAAAACAGAACATGAACTGTCTAACAGTAATACTTCAGCCATGGTGTCGTCCTTCCTCCAGCGTGCTAAACTAACTCCAATACTGATTCAAGTTTTTAAAAGTTTCAATTCAGCATTTGATTTCTCCTGGTCTGTCTCGTGAGTCGTGACTGCGCAGCCGCTTATGCAGATGGGGACGTGCGAATGGCGGATCTGCGTGAACAGATGCGCAGAAGTCGGAATCTGCATTTGCTGACAGACAGTCTGACCTGCTTATCGGAATTATGAGAGATGTCTGTCCGACTCTATTTAATTGGATGAACATTTTTTAGTTTTATGCTTTCCCCAGAATATAAAAATACATATAAACACATTTAGATAATTTACTGTAATTATGACTATTGGACTGTGAAGAGACTTTCAACCAGCACAACTAAACATGTTTCTGAAGACAATCACCTACTGCACCTTTAATAACAAAAGAAAAAAAAATAGAGTGGAAGAGTTTAGCTGACGAGGTTAAAGCAGTGGGGTCAGAACAGCGCATGTGCAAGTGAATTAAAAAAGAAATGGTCCGATGTAAAGGTGTAACATTTTGTAGTGTCTATTTGGGCCAAGTGCAAATAGCACACCTTGATGGAATGAGCTAACATTAGTTGAGTGATTTAGCTCATTTGATTGACAGAGACAACAAAACTAAAGAGAGGGGACATCAGCAAGATGAGTGGCGTAGCTCGTAAAGCGCATGGCAACATGTTGACACTATCATTTACGAACCCAGTTCGAATGCAGCGTCTCATGAATTCATTCATCTTTTTCCCATTACATATCAGATTTTGCCTAGTCTTCATCAAGAGGAAGTAGGAATCATTAATAAGTGTGTTTTATGTTAGGCTCATTTGAGCACAATATTATTTGCACATTTATTGAAATGTTTCCGATTCATGTACAAAAATTCATTTTCAGATGGCGCCTTTAAAGCAATGTACGTGCAATGGATCAATCAGATTACATTGAGAAAACCGGTCATCGCAAATTGCGCTTTATTGTTTGGCTGGTCAACTGTATGGCATGGAAACCTTATACACCTGCTAGACATGCGGATGATCCAATCCCATACAGCTGCCATTGCACGGCTCAAAGATACTTTGTAGTGTGCAATTTAATACAACTGCCTCTAGGAGTCACCAAAACAAATAAAACAAACACACACAACAAATGCACTTACGCCAGACATGAAGTTGGCATGGACCAACCCATACTCTCACGTTCATTTCATCGTTAGTAAATCCAAACGCAGCATTGATACATGAGGCCCCTGAACCCCTGTGAACAAAACCAGGACCCCCTCTTCTTTCTCCCACCTCACCTCACCACACGACAGCACGAAACTAAGTGTACCTCACACAAGTGAGTGGGCTTGACAAAGCACCTGTAGAAAACAAACTCTTTCATCTCTTTGACAATTTAAATACATGTTCTTTCCAAAAAAATAAATAAATAAAAATCCACTAGGATTTTACCATCAGCAAAAAAACAACAAAAACAACAACAATAAAACAAAGAAAAACACTGTGCATTGATGGTGTGAGCTTTACACAGGTGAGTGGGCTTGACAAACCACCTGTAGAAACACTAATGGTATATTTTCTACATATATGGGCCGAACATGATTGTACAATCAGCAAAAAAAAAAAAAAAAAAACTGTGCATTTATGATATGAGCTTTACACAGGTGAGTGGGTTTGACAAACCACCTGTAGAAACACTAATATTATATTTTGTACACATTTGGAGGTGGCATGATTTTACAATCAGCAAAAAAACAACAAAAATAAAAAAAGGAAAACACTGTGCATTGATGGTGTGAGCTTTACACAGGTGAGTGGGCTTGACAAACCACCTGTAGAAACACTAATGGTATATTTTCTACATATATGGGCCGAACATGATTGTACAATCAGCAAAAAAAAAAAAAAAAAAACTGTGCATTTATGATATGAGCTTTACACAGGTGAGTGGGTTTGACAAACCACCTGTAGAAACACTAATATTATATTTTGTACACATTTGGAGGTGGCATGATTTTACAATCAGCAAAAAAACAACAAAAATAAAAAAAGGAAAACACTGTGCATTGATGGTGTGAGCTTTACACAGGTGAGTGGGCTTGACAAACCACCTGTAGAAACACTAATGGTATATTTTCTACATATTTGGGCCGAACATGATTGTACAATCAGCAAAAAAAAACAAAAAAAAAAAAAACACTGCATTTATGATATGAGCTTTACACAGGTGAGTGGGCTTGACAAACCACCTGCAGAAACACTAATGGTATATTTTGTACTACTTTGTATATTGCAGTGTTTAATTATTACATATTTTATATTGTATCGCTTTGGGTTTAAGAAAAGAACATTACAAATAAAACGCAATAATAATAATGACAATAAACAATATATTAAAATGTGAAGGAGCATTTGGTTGGATCACAAAAATTCATACTTGGAGTCAGGTTGTGGTTATGAAACCCACAGGGAAAAAAGTTTTGAAATCGCATGACGTATTGAGATTATTAAAACAAACATCATTAATTCCATGCACAGTAAGGAGAATAGAAGCATCTTTTGAAGACTCACCATAGCCTCCAGCATGCAGGGGATTAGAGCCAGGGATGACCTTCTCCTGGTGTCCTTCACAGCTCCAGCAGCGTCATTACACTGACAGATTTACAGCACAGAGAACGTCAGCCATGCATTCACTCACAGATGAAATATATTCAACAGCCCACAAACATCACAATCAGCAAAATGTAAATACGAAAACAACGGCTGAGGAAGGTTGTGACGTGAACACGAATGTGCGGAAAATAAAAGCTTTCTTCTAGATAAACATCGAAATAGGTGGATTATGATGTTCAAAAATATAATGTTATTTGCAACATCATAAACCATATAACAACTTGAAACAAACAAAAGGATTAACATATGAAATATCAAAGGGAAAAAGGAGATACTGAATGTGTGATTGGTTTAGAAATGATAGTAAACTATACAAAGCGATTAGTTACTTAACATAAAAAATGGCATAACCATAAAATATATATATATATATATATACACCATTTATTATTTATATTATAAACTCTTTTTCTTTGAAAGCCGATAACTGATAACAAATCAAATCACTTTTATTGTCACATCATCAGTAGCACGTGTGCTGTGATGAGTGAAAAGCTTAGGTGGTGGCTCCAGACAGTGCAAAATACAACAACATACAACAGCACACTCTCAAAAAAAGGACAATGTAAAATGACATAAAATTGACAGCGATATGTACAATGAAAAGGTGTCCTCTTTTCCGGCTGCCACTGACGGCTGGACCCAGACAAAGGCTTCTGTTGCTGTGTTTGTAAACAGAGCGTCGTTAAAGAACTCAAAGTCCGGTCTTCGATGTGCAACGAGGGAGCCAATTTCCCAAAGTGTGTGTCTGTCATAGGCAATGAGTCTGTGTACATCCAACACGAAAAACGACAAAAAATACAAGTAAAATACACAAAACAAAGTTTGCTCAGAGCTTGCAACAAAGCCATGCTAGGCGCTATCTTAATCTTCTCTCTCTCTCTCTCTCTCTCTCTCTCTCTCTCTCTCTCTCTCTCTATCTATCAATCTATCTATCTATCTATCTATCTATCTATCTATCTATCTATCTATCTATCTATCTATCTATCTATCTATATATATATATACATATATATATATATATATATATATATATATATATATATATATATGTATGTATATATATATATATATATATATATATATATATATATATATATATATATATATATATATATATATATATATATTTAGATTTTTATCATATTTTGAAGCTGATAAGTGATATATACCAATATCACAGGAGTTGCTGTGCAATATGGCTGTATATCAGCAAGAGCTAGTATTTGAATGATTCTCTAGCGCAGTGGTTCTCAATCTTTTTCACTTGGTGGTGAAAACTGATTGTGTAGAGAAAATGCTCATTCTTAAATTTCGTTTGCTTATACTATTATTATCATTATTTACAGCACTTTATTAAAAAAACATTTAGAAAATTCAATATCTAATATCTAATATATATATATGTATGTATGTATGTATGTATGTATGTGTATATATATATACACACACACACACACACACACACACACACACACACACACACACACACACACACACACACACACACACACACACACACACACACACAAGGGTGAAGAGGCTGTAGAAGTGCTGATATTGCTTTAATATCTCATGGCTGTCAGCCAATCAGATTCAAGTATCAGAAAGAACTGTATATATATATTTTTTTTTCTTATTCTAATACCCAGAACAAAATGCCAACAAAAATCTGGATATCTGATTTCATAAAACAAGGAAACTGCAAAAAACATCTGAAGTTGTTTACAAATTGCCATTGAATTGATGTTTTTTTCACAGTTGAAAACACCCACAGCGCTGACATCTTGTTTTACCTGTATTATAAAGACAATCCAACATATTAACAAAAAACTATTTGCAACATCAAAAAGCATAAGAGATATTTTTGATCGCTTACCCTCATCTATACTTCATTAAAAATGTGGATTAAATGGCTAAGATCAATTAGATGGGATTAGAAAATATCAGTTAAAGGGTTAGTTCACTAAAAACACTTAATCACAAGTTTCAAACCTGCTTAATAATGTTTCTTTTGTTGAACCCAAAATGCATTACTTTAAAACACCTTGCAAACATGTAACTATTGACTTAGTATTGAGTATTCGTTTTTTCAACTTTGGAAGTCAATAGCTACTGGTTCCTAATATTCTTTAAAACATCTTTCATGTTCAACAGAATAAAGAAACTCAAAAATATTTAGGAATCACTTGAGGGTAAGTAAATAGTGAGTAAATGTTCACTTTTGGGTGAACTGCGCCTTTAAAACAGACACGCACACACAAAACTGTGATAATACAGGATATAAATTTATTAAAATGACATTTTCATATGAACAATCCGACATGTTCAAATTAGCACCATCAAAAGTGGCAGTTTGAGTACCAATCGTGTGAGCAACTACTGACATACAGTACTGGAATACAGAAGCAATATTCACTATACCTGGAACTTGAAGTTGCACAAAAAAAAAACTGTTCTGACAGAAGCAGTTGGTTACAATATGTATTAAATAATCCCAACACATATAAAAAAAAAGAACATTTAAATACATACAGAAAGAACAAAATGTGAGAAAACTGCTGAATTTCACAGTAGTGAAATGTGTCTAGCACCAGTTGTATCCTTGGTAGATTGAAGCCAAGGTCTAAAAACACACGTACTGTATGAACTGTTTCAAAGCCTAGTGAGCATGAGAGTGTGTGAATAGCTATGTTTCCATCCAACTATTTTATGTACACTATCCCTTGCTGAAGAAGAGATATGTTTAATAGAGGAGGGCACGGTGGCTCAGTGGTTAGCACTGTCGCCTCACAGCAAGCAGGTCACTGGTTCGAGTTTTCTGTGTGGAGTTTGCATGTTCTCCTCATGTTGGCGTGGGTTTCTTCGTGCTTCGGTTCCCCCAACAGTCCAAAGACATGCAGTATGTGTGGACTGAATCAACTAAATTGGTCGCAGTGTATGAGTGTGTGTGAATGAGAGACTGTATGGGTGTTTCCGAGTACTTAAACTTTGAAATCAGTTTCACTTTCATGCAGGAACATTTCATTCATGCCCCCATGACAAACAGGTATTTTGTGCGAGCGTTAAGCAAGGACTGGTGGTCTTTGAATGGAATTTGATACTGCACGTTGAATTGAAAGAAAAAAAAAACTAATTTCATGACGCAGGTGTCTGTGGTTCTTTAAGGCAGGGCCGGCGCATCCCTAGAGGCAACTTAGGCGGCCGCCTAGGGTGGCAGAACAGTGAGGGCGGTGTCTGCGACCCCCCTGGTCCTCACTTTGATTCGCGACACCCTCTTTCTTCCTCCCGGTCCTCACTTTCATCCACGAACTTTAAAAGTACTACTCTCTGGCTCAGTGGTTAGCACTGTCGCCTCACAGCAAGAAGGTCATTGGTTCGAGTTTCCTGTGTGGAGTTTGCATGTTCTCCTCGTGTTGGCATGGGTTTCTTCGTTCTTCTGTTCCCCAACAGTCCAAAGACATGCAGTACAGGTGATCAGAATCAACTAATTTGGTCGCAGTGTATGAGTGCGTGTGAATGAGAGAGTGTATGGGTGTTTCCGAGAACTGGGTTGTGGTTGGAAGGGTATCCGTCGGTAAAACATATGCTGAAATAGTTGGTGGTTCATTCCGCTGTGGCAACCCCTGATAAATAGGAGACTTAATCGTAGGAAAATGAATGAATGAATAATTATTAGAGATGCTTAATAGAAATTCCAAGATGTGCAAACATTTTGAAAATGTACATTAACAACTTTTGAAATTGATTAGCATAAACTTTATCTGAAAAAAAATGTGCATAAACTATGATGGAAACACATTTACTTGAATAAATTACCAACACTATCTCACGGCAATTCATATCTTTTTGATTTAGTGGCTAATTTGTATGAATTCGTATTATCTCGTTCGTACAATTTAGTAAGATTTGCTGATCCTCCAATGAAGATTGGGTTTAAAAAAACATTTTCATATGACTAAACTCATCACGAATTAGCTACTAAACTGACAAAATGTAAAATAGCTGCGTTTCCTTGTGAGATCAGGATGAAATTACAGCATGCGCATTAAAAAAAGTTGCCTGATTTTTTTTTAACAGATCATGTAATAAAAATCGTCGATGGGACACATCAATAGACAAACCCAACGCCAGGCTCATTCTGATACCGTACCCTTATATACAATACTGGAGAGCGCCAAATTTGTCCCAGGAGTTAGGTTTTTTTGCGGTTTTTGTTTTTGCGAATCCACCAGAGGCCATTGTCGACTGACTGACAGATCGACTGGCCTACTCTCCTCCTTCCCTAAACTCAACTGACAGCGTTTTCCAGAAAAAGCAATCCAAAAAAAGAAAAGCCCTTGGTCAACTTCTCTCTGCATCTCAAATTCTCCAACGTACATGCCGAGCCACTAGACAAACTGCGGGAAAGCAGTCCACATGGAGGTAAGTGGTCAGCTGGTCAACAAGCAAGGATTCTGACACAGCAACGTGAAGCAGATGCTTTACAAAAGTTGCATGTGAGGGGAACACGTCAAACTCAATGACACATGTGAGGGCTCATGGACTCAACTTAAAGGCAGAGGAGTGCACTGTCTCTGAAAGCTTGCGGCATCAGCTGGCACTTTCAATGAGTTTGTACATGGACACCAATGCTCCGATTTTAATGTGATTAAGACAATACTATAAGAGTCTAGACTACTATGTAAACTGTGATTTTTTACAGTTTACCTTAAAGCAGGGCCGGAGCAAGCTGATCTGGCACTCAATACTCTGATTAGGAGTCTAGACTACCATGTAAACTGTGATTTTTTTATTACCTTAAAGCAGGGCCGGAGCAAGCTGAACTGCCGCCCTCAACCCAAAAGTAAAAAAGTGACCGTTTCGTGGATGAAAGTGAGGACCTGGAGGAAGAGAAAGGGTGTCGCGCATGAAAGGGAGGACCGGGGGACACCGCCCTCACTATTCTGCCACCCTAGGCGGCCGCCTAAGTTGCCTCTAGGAATGCACCGGCCATGCCTTAAAGGACCACAGACACCTGCGTCATGAAATGCGGAGGTTTTTTCTTTCAATTTAACGTGCAGTATCAAATTCCATTGAAAGAGCACTCTCCCACCAGTCCTTAACGCTCGCAACAAATACCTGTTTGTCATGGGGGCATGAATGAAATGTTCCTGAATGAAAGTGAAACGGCAGTTAAAGTCAAAAAATTAAAAATGAAACACCTGAAATTATATGAAACTCTGGAGGAAACATGGATAGTGTGGTGACGCAATGACGTTAATCAATCTATGTACAATAACAAGACGGGATCATGAAAGGAACATTCAAAAAGCGACTCCCGTAAACGCATCAAATCAGACCTGTCACATACACTTTCATATAGTGAAATTGAACCCCCCCGACCTATTGATTTTTGGATGGAAACATAGCTATTGTTGCATAATTGCACAGTTTATTTTTTTCACGTATTAGGCTTCATTTCATTTATGATTCTCCCTATGTAGGCGACTCAGTAGATTTTGAAACAGAGCCTCTCTCTCCCACACACATGTGCAACTCCAGCCATTGGGTTATTTTATGAAATAGCAACTTAAAGTTTCACATTTTCTGGCCACATTCTGACTCTTGTATCTGAAGTACCTTGTAAACTCATGTAAGTTGTATCCAGACATGTTACCCTGGAGCACAAAACCAGCCTCATTATGTCCCTAGACTGTGTATGTGAAGTTTCAGCTCAAAATAGCACTCAAATAATGATTTATAACTCTTTGAAACTGTTTCTTTTAGGCTTTGATCCTAATTGTGCCGTTTTGGTGACAGTCTCTTTAAATTCAAATGAGATTGTGCTCCTTTCAAAAGAGGGTAGAGCTACAAATGCCTGTGTGTCAGCATAGTGGCAGATTCAATGACAAGACTAACACGATACTAATGAGGGAGAGATTGTATCTTATGTGCGGGGCTTTTCCCATCTAATGACACGTGCAAACTGAGAATGTGTCAGTGTTTCTGCAGCCTGTTTTTATCAAGGGTTATTATAAAACATAAAATAAATATTTACTGCTAGAAGCTTGTTATATTCACAGACTGTTGCCACACAACTGTTTAAACCCCTTATAATATTGATTTTTGCATAATAAGTCACCTTTAAAGATGATTTTCTTTATAATTGTATTTGTTTTTGTTTTTTTACTTCAAATTTAAATATTCAAATATTGTCCAGTCCTAACAAACCTTACATGAATGGATTATTTATTTCTTTATAACTAAATTATACTGAACTGTCAGACTATGTTTCTGGTTTTGTGGTCCATGATCACATATTATCATTTTTATGCTACAAATGTTGTCGTTATTATTCAGTATACATGGGATATGTTTGTATATGTGCTGCCTCTATTGCACAAAATGAGAACTACAATAATTACATAATAAATGAAGGCATTATTCTTTTATAAATGAAGACAGAATTGATCACAAAGAAATTTGCAAGTGTATCAAGTGTGTCTCTGCAGCACCAAACTAATAGATTACACACATACACAACACTTTCTGTACCCTGATTTCACTACATCGTAGAGTAACAGTGCACCACAAAACGAAAAACAATCTTTTTTTCTTCCAAAACAGTATTGCCTGTTTGCTTTTCTGAGAATGTTCATTTGTGCAGTGAGAAAAGATTGTCAGGCTCCAAAATAAAAAAAGAAAACAAGCACCATAATTGTGTTTATATTTCCAGCCTTCTTAAAGTGCCCCATGTATGCTTTTTATATCTTATATTTTGTCACTGTTTTATTAATTTTGGTGAATGAGTAAGGTCTAAAAAATGTCCAAAGTGCAGAAAATGCATGAAATGATTCGTCTGTAATTCCAGTCTTTCTTCCTGTACAAGTTTGAAAAATAAAATCAGCATGATGCCAGTTTACAGTCTGTTTAGTGATGATTTCCCACTCCAAAAGGTAAAATCAACCTAAATATATAATATATAAATATATAAAATATATATGTTGAAATTAATAAACATTTGTTTTTGACCAATGAAAACTGAATGTGCCCACCATCTTACCAATCAGAGTAGAGCTGGCTCTCAGAAAGATAGGCTTTAGAAAGACTGGATTCTTGAACCAGCTGTTTTTAGACACAATCAAAACAGACTGGGTCATTGGACCAATCACAGCAGACTGGCACATTGGACCAATCACACCAGACTGGGTCATGGCACCAATAACAACAGACTGGGTCATTGGACCAAGCACAACAAACTGGGTCATTGAGCCAATCACAAAAGACTGGGTCATTAGACCAATCACATCAGATTGGGTCATGGGACCAATCACACCAGACTGGGTCATGGCACCAATAACAACAGACTGGGTCATTGGACCAAGCACAACAAACTGGGTCATTGGACCAATCAGAAAAGACTGGGTCATTGGACCAATCACACCAGACTGGGTCATGGGACCAATCACACCAGACTGGGTCATTGGGCCAATCACAACAGACTGGGTCATTGGGCCAATCACAACAGACTGGGTCATTGGGCCAATCACAACAGGGTCACTGGCCCAATCTCAAAAGAGTGGGTCACTGGCCCAATCTCAAAAGGCTGGGTCATGGGACAAATCTCAAAAGGCTGGGTCATGGGACAAATCTCAAAAGGCTGGGTCATCGGACCAATCTCAAAAGGCTAGGTCATCGGACGAATCTCAAAAGGCTAGGTCATGGGACAAATCTCAAAAGGCTGGGTCATCGGACCAATCTCAAAAGGCTAGGTCATCGGACCAATCTCAAAAGGCTGGGTTATAGCACCAATGTCAAAAGACTGGGTCATCAGACCAATCTCAAAAGACTGGATCATCAGACCAATCTCAAAAGACTGGATCATCAGACCAATCTCAAAAGACTGGATCATCAGACCCATCTCGAAAGACCGGGTCATCGGACCAATCACAAAAGACCGAGTCATTGGGCCTATCTCAAAGACCAGGTCATCAGTCTAATCACAAAAAAACTGGGTCATCGGATCAATCACAACAGGCTGGGTCATTGGACCCATCTCAAAATACTGGGTCAACAGACCCATCACAGCAGACTAGGTCATCAGACCAATCACAAGAGACTGGGTCATCAGATCAATCGTAAAAAAAAACTGGGTCAGTGGACCAATTACAACAGGGTCATTGGCCCAATCTTAAAAGACTGGGTCATCAGACCAATCTTAAAAGACTGGGTCATAAGACCAATCACAACATACTAGGTCATCGGACCCATCTCAAAAGACTGGGTCAACGGACCGATCACAACACACTGGGTTACTGGACTAATCACAACAGACTGGGTCACCAGTCACCAATCACAGCAGATTACCATCACACAAAAGAGGGGTTTGGAACAAATCATATGGGAGTCGTTGGGATGCATATTAAAAAACAATGAAAGTGTTTTGATCTTACATGCAGATCAGCCTGTTGTTAGAGACTCCAAAACCAAATTATGACCTATTATAATGCATAATAGGGGCACTTTAAAGGGAAGGAGCTTGCATGAAGTGCAATGTAAAAAATTTATTTATCAAATGCATTAATGAAATGCACTACAACAAGTTCAGGAAAAAGAGAACATCCAAGCTGATGGATTAAAAACAGAACAATTATATATATATATATACACTGTGTATAATCCATTTGATTCTTAACTTATTGGCAAAATTTGACTCCTATGATTTGTTAAAAGTTTATTTGCCAATTTATTCAAATATTTATGGCTTATAAAGAAATTCCAAAACTAATAGGGAATAAAGGACCAAGAAAGCTCACTAGGTTTTGGGTGCAAGAGCGAACATGACAACAGAAGTTACTAAAATAGTAAAATAATTAAAGTAAAAGCAAGACAAAAGATTGTTAAAGTCCATCAGTTAATGGCCAACCAGTGGCCTTAAAAAAGCAACCTCAGCTGGATATCTGGTGAAATTAGCTTTACCCACAGTGCAACATGATACTAAAAAACTCATTTCCAGGGGCAAAGAGTGGATTACAGCAAAACAAGAAACCTTCAAGTCCAAAAACAAGAACTAAACGTTACTCAAGTACGCAAACACACGGCCAACACATACTTAGGTGGAGACAAACCTCAGTGCCTTCAAAATCTGCATAGTTAGAAACGTTCTGCTTGGAAATGTCTGTCCGCTGCTTTCATTTACACATTATAACTTTTTAAAAGAATATAAAACATTATTCTCAACAGTACAAATGAGAAAGGCAAAAATAAAGCTCTATGTGTGGCTGTGCCGGGCTCATTAACTCTTGGGGGGCATTTTGTTGGTGTAAAAGTCTCTGCAGGTCTGGCAGCAGCGTTGGTACCAGCGCATGTCCTGGCACAGGTTCTTCTCCCGGATCACCTTGCAGTAAACCGCCCACTGATCGCCCACGCACTTATACGTCAATGCAGCTGCCAGGAATGACAGAAGGACAGGACACAGCGTTTCACTCATTCAATTATGACATGATCCCTGAACACATGCATATGTCACTCCAGACACCTTCATCGAGATTAGAAGATGCCCTTTTAGCAACTGTCTGCTCTCTGCAGTGCTTCTTTTTGCTGTGGTTTTCTTTTTGACAAAGCTAGAAGACTTAAGAGGTTTCAACATGTCACTAACATGGTTCGAGTATAAATTGACATCTTACCGTTATATTTGAACTTGAATTGGCATGTCGCTAGCATGAATTAGTATGTTGTTAGCATGTTTGTATCATGAACTCCCATGTTGCTAATAAGACTTAACAATAAACATGTATGCAGCAGCTAATGTTCGCAGCAGCTACATTGCAGGAACACATTGTTAGCATGTGGTTATCATGAATTAGCATGTCATTAGTTGGTTCATGGTTCTAGCATGAATAGGCATGTTAAGGTTATATTTTAACTTGAATTGACATGTTGCTAGCACAAATTAGCAAGTTTGTTAGCATGTGTCTAACGTATCTTGTTAGCATATTTGTATCATGAACTCTCATGTTGCTAATAAGATTAAACATGTTCGTAGCAGCTACATTGTAGGAGTTAACACATTATTAGCATGTGGTTATCATGAATTAGCATGTCATTACTTTAGATAACCCTGCTGAAAAATCCAGCTTAAACCAGCCTAGGCTGGTTGGCTGGTTTTAGTTGGTTGACCAGCCTGGTTTTAGAGGGGTGTTGGCCATTTCCAGGCTGGTTTTCAGCCATTTACAGCCTGGTCTTAGCTGGTCAGGCTGAAAAATGACCAGCTTAATCCAGCTAAAACCAGCTTGACCAGCCTGGTTTAAGCTAGATATAGCTGGTTTTGGCTGGACTCCCAGCTTGGCTAGGCTTGTCAAGCTGGTCATCTTCCAGCCTGACCAGCTAAAACCAGGCTGAAAATGGCTGGAAACCAGCCTGGAAGTGGCCAAACCCCCTCTAAAACCAGCCTGATCGACCAGCTAAAATCAGCCAACCAGCCTAGGCTGGTTTAAGCTGGATTTTTCAGCAGGGAACCGTTCCGTCCTTTGACTTATGTTCGTTACTTGATTCAAAATTATGAGCACGCGCACGCACACATGCGTCACGCTGACTCGCGCAGAAGAACCGTTTCGAGTCCTCCAATCAAGTTTCAGCATCGAACCAATGTTATGATTTCGACCAAATGTGTCGGGTGGCCTATAAGTTGAAGAGTAAACTTCATTTCGACATTGAATCAATGGTATATTCTCGATGTATTAACCTTCTGACGGAATAAAGAACAATGATTCAATGTCAAAATTTGATTGACGACTGATACTGACGCTTATAACCAATAATCAACATTGATTCAATGTTGGCTTGCTATCTGGGTAGCATGGTTCTAGCATAATTAGCATGTTACTGTTATATTTTAACTTAAAATTGACATGTCGCTAGCATGGATTACCATGTTGTTAACATGTTTAACTTTAAGTGGTATCTTGTCGACATATTTGTATCATTAATTCTCATGTTGCTAATAAGAATAAACAATAAACATGCTTGTAGCAGCTACATAGCAGTAATTAGCACATTGTTAGCATGTGGTTATCATGAATTAGCATATCATTAACATGGTTTTAGCATAATCTAGCATGGCACTGTTTTAACATGAATTGACATGTTGCTAGAATGAATTAGCATGCTGTTAGCATGTTTCTAACAAAGTAGTATCATGATTTTGCATATTGCTAGCAAAATTATAATGTCAAGATATAATGTAGGATAATTATATCATAAATTAACATGCTAATTGTATTTAGCTTGTTATTAGCATGGCTCTACATAAATTGACATGTTGCTTGTGTGAATTGACTTTTAACTAGTCTGTTTTCAACATAAGGCAGCATCTTGTTAGCATATTTTATAATTAGTTACCATGTTGTTACTGAGAATTAGCATTTTGTGTCCATATTTTCAAATAATAATTAACAATGGCAGCAGGAATAAACTTCTTGCTAGCATGTGGTTATACATTAGCTTATTATTAGTAAAATTTAGAATGTCACTATCATAGTTCTATCATAATTGACAAGTTTTTAACATATTTTTAACATGAATTAACATGTTGTTAACATCAGTTAGTATGTCAGTAGCATGTTTGTAACAGAGCAGGGTCTTAAAGCTTGTTTTTAACCTATAAGCATTGATATCAGTTGTTCATAACAAACATTTGCTAGCAAGTTTGTCATGAATTACCATGCTGCTAATGAGAAATAGCATGCTGTTTGAATGTTTTACAATCAACACATTAGTAGCATGTAATTTGCAGGAACTAACACATTGTTAACATGTGGTTATCATGAATTAGCATAACATTAGCATGGTGTTAACATAAATTATCATGTTTCTGTTAAATTTTAACCTGAATTAAAAGGTTGCTAGAATGAATTAGCATGTTTCTGATATTAAGTAGCATCGTTTTAGAATGTTTGTATCATGAATTACCATGTTGTTAATAAGAACAAACATGTTCGTAGCATCTATCTTGCAAGAATTAACACATCATTAGCATATAGTTATTGTGATATTGCATATAGCTAACAATAATTATAATGTCACTAGCATACTTGTATCATAAATTAGCATGTAAATAGCATAAATTAGAATGTCATTAGCATGGTTCTACATAAATTGGCATGTTGCATGTGTGAATTGGCGTTCCACTAGTATGTTTTTAACAATAAGTAGTATCTTGTTAGCATGTTTTCATAATTAGTTACCATGTTGCTACTGAGAATTAGCATTCTTTGTGCATGTTTTAGAATAATTAATTTATTCCGGCTGTTAGCATGTGGTTATAAATTTGCTTATTGCAAACAAAAATTAAAATGTCACTAGCATAATTCTTTCATAAATTGACCTGTTTTTAACATGTTTTTAGCCAGATTAAAATGTTGTTAACATCAGTTAGTATGTCAGTAGCGCCTTAAAGCTTGTTTTTAACCTTTGAGCATAGACATCAGTTGTTAATAAGAATAAAAAAATAGCTTGTAAGCTTTTATCATGCATTACCATGTTGCTAATGAGAATTAGCATGCTGTTTGCATGTTTTACAATAACACATTCGTAGCATGCATCTTGCCTGATTAAACACATTGCTAGCATGTGATTATCATTAATTAGCATGCTATTAGCATGGTTACAACATAAATTGACATGTCATTGTTATATTTTAACTTAAATTGACATGTTGTTCCCATAAATTAACATGTCATTAGCATGTTTCTAACATTAAGTAGCATCTTGCTAGCATGTTTGTATCATGAATTCCTATGCAGTTAATGATTATCATAAATTAGCATGTTGGTAGCATAAATTAGCATGTAATTAGCATAGTTCTACCATAAATTGAAATGTTGCTTGTGTGAATTTACAGGTCATGTCATTAGGATGTTTCTAACATTAGGTAGCATCTTGGTAGCATGATTGTATCAGGAAATACCATATTGCTAATGTGCATTAGCATGCATTTGCACATTGCACATTGCAATTTGCACATTGGTGAGATGTGATTATCTTAATTATCATGTCATTAGCATGGTTCCCCTGCTGAAAAATCCAGCTTAAACCAGCCTAGGCTGGTTGGCTGGTTTTAGCTGGTCGACCAGGCTGGTTTTAGAGGGGTTTTGGCCACTTCCAGGCTGGTTTCCAGCCATTTCCAGCCTGGTCTTAGCTGGTCAGGCTGGGAGATGACCAGCTAAAATCAGCTTGACCAGCCTAGCCAGGCTGAGAGCCCAGCCAAAACCAGCTATGTCCAGCTTAAACCAGGCTGGTCAAGCTGGTTTTAGCTGGATTAAGCTGGTCATTTTTCAGCCTGACCAGCTAAGACCAGGCTGTAAATGGCTGAAAACCAGCCTGGAAATGGCCAACACCCCTCTAAAACCAGGCTGGTCAACCAACTAAAACCAGCCAACCAGCCTAGGCTGGTTTAAGCTTGATTTTTTAGCAGGGTCTAGTATAAACTGACATTGAATTAGCAGGTGGTTATCATAAATTTGCATATAAGCATAGCAAAAATTAGAAAGCCACTAATCTTAAATTAGAATGTCACTAGCATGATTTTAACATTAAGTAGCATGCTGCTACTGCAAGTTAGCCCTTTATTAACATGTTGTCAGCACGGATTATAATTGCTAGCATGTGGTTTTTATACATTTGCACATTGCTAACAAGAATGAGAATGTCTGTAACATGTTTGTCATAAATTAGCATGGTACTAGCATATTTTTGCATGCATTAATCTGTTACTAGCCTCAATTAGAATGTTGGTAGCATGTCTGTAACAAAGTAGCATTTTGTTTTTTTAAATACAAACATTAATATTAGTTGTTAACAGGAATAAACATTTGCTAAGATGTTTTTTAATCATTAACTACCATGGTGCTAGTGTGAATTAGCATTCCGTTTGTATGTTTTACAATACTTAACATGTTGCTAGCATATTTTAGCATGAATTACATGTCGCTAAGATAAAATAGTATGTCAATAACATGTTTGTAACAAAGTAAAGTAGCAATTTGAAGCTTGTTTTTAACATTAACGTGTAATTATCAGGTATTAACCATTGCTAGCATGTTTTTAGCATGAATTTGAATCTACATTGTTTTTAGAAATCTTTACAAAAATAGTTTTGGAATTAGCATGTTGTCACTAACATGTCTGGTAGATTATCATTAGCATGAACTAGCATAGTTTTTCAGGCAAAAACGTATTTACTGAATATGTTGCCATTGGCTGAGTCTTACCCAGTCTTGGAGAGGTGATTGTGTTGATGTTCCCTCTGGCGTTACAGGTGCTCTGATGACACTGTCTGTACGTCGCCGGCTTCAGCACTGCTGGACAGTCGCTGCCGTGGCGACCACTCACTCTGTGCATGCATTGGACCACTCTGGACTGCAAGCCCCGCCCACATGATGACGAGCACTGAAATCAACCAATCAAAGAATTACAACACACTCATTTTACTTAAAGGCCAGGACACAGCAAGCTGACGTAAAAAAAAAACTAACGGTGATGAAAGCTGCATATTTATTAGTGTCTTGCATTGGCTGGGTCAAAAATGTCAACTTGAAGACATGAACTACATACTGCAATCTCCATCTGCGCGAGAGGATAAAACTTTCCAAACCTGCAGGTGGCAGCAGTCTGCACAGACATTCTAAAAATAAAACCCAAAGTTGTACATTAAGTAGCATCTTGCTAGCATGTTTTCTTCATGAGTTATCATGTTGCTAGTGATTCGATTAGTCTTATAATACTCAATATGTTGGCAGAGGAATACACATTTGCTTGTCATTAGCATGGTTCTAGCATAAATTGACAGGTTGCTCGAGTTAATTAACGCGTCACTAGCATGTTTTTAAATATAAGCAGCTACTTGCTAGCATGTTTTTTTTAGTTCCCATGTTGCTAGTGAGAATTTACATACTTAGTTTTATAATTAGCAGGGTTCTAACATAAATTGACATGTTGTTCGAGCTAATTAGCATTGACATGTTGCTGGAATGAATTAGCATGTAACTAGCATGTTTTAAAATTAAGTAGCATCTTGCTAGCAAGTTTTTATCATGCAATCCCATTTGCATAGTTCTGACAAACTAACATGTTGCTTGAGAGAATTAGCATGCGACTAGCATGTTTTTAACATTAATTTACATCTTGGTAGCATGTTTTCATCATTAGTTACCAAGATGCTAGTGAGAATTACCATTCTCTTAGATTTATAATAATTGGCACGTTGGTAGCAGGAATGCACATTTGCATGTCATTAGCATGGTTCTAACATAAGTTGACATGTTTCTCAAGTGAATTAGCATTCCATTAGCACATTTTAACATTAAGTAGCACCTTTGCTCGCATGTTTTTGTCATGAGACCATGTTGCTAGTGAGAATTAACATACTCTTAGTTTTATAATTAGTATGGTTCTAACATAAATTGACATGTTGTTCTAGTTAATTAGCATGTTACTAGCATGTTTTAACATTAAGCAGCATTGTTCTAGCATGTTTTTTCATTAATTCCCATGTTGCTAGTGAGAATAAGCATTCAATTAGTTTTGTAATCAACATGTTGGTAGCAGGAATACACATTTGCATGTCATTAGCATAGTTTTAACATAAATTGACATGTTATTCGAGCTAATTAGCATGTTAATAGCATGTTTTAACATTAAGCAGCATCTTTCTAAAATTTTATTATAAATTCCCATGTTGCTAGTGAGAATTAGCATTTTTCGTTCATGATTTTGTAATCAACATGTTGGTAGCAGGAATACACATTTGCATGTCATTAGCATGGTTCTAACATAAATTGACATGGTGCCCGAATGAATTAGCATGCCACTAGCATGTTTTAACATTAAGTAGCATCTTGCTAGCATGTTTTTATCATGCATTCCCATGTTGCTAGTGAGAATTAACATTCTATTCGTTTTATAACAATTAACATTTTGGTAGCAGGGATACAGATTTGCATGTCATTAGCATAGTTCTAACAAATTAACATGTTGCTTGAGAGAATTAGCATGCCACTTGCATGTTTTAACATTAATTTACATCTTGGTAGCATGTTTTCATTACAAGTTACCAAGGTGCTAGTGAGAATTAGCATTCTCTTAGTTTTATAATAATTGGCTTGCTGGTAGCAAGGATACACAACATAAATTAACATGTTGCCTGAGAGAATAAGCATGTCACTAGCATGTTTTTGACATTAAGCAGCATCTTGCTAGCATGTTTTTATCGTGAGCTACCATGTTGTTAGTGATTTGATTAGTTTTGTAATCAACATGTTGGTAGCAGGAATACACATTTGCATGGCATTAGCATAATTCTAACATAAATTGCCATGGTGCTCGAATAAATTAGCATGTCACTAGCATGTTTTTAACATGAAGTAGCATCTTGCTAGCATGTTTTTATCGTGAGCTACCATGTTGCTAGTGATTTGATTAGTTTTGTAATCAACATGTTGGTAGCAGGAATACACATTTGCATGGCATTAGCATAGTTCTAACATAAATTGCCATGTTGCTTGAGTGAACTAGCATGCTAATAGTATGTTTTTAACATGAATTGACATATTGCTAGCATGTTTTATCATGAGTTCTCATGTTGCTAGTGAGAACTAGAATGTAAAAATCACTATGTAATTCATCATCACAGCCGCATGTCAGTAAAATTATAAAAGAAGATACTTTAATCTCAGTTTGTGGACGTTAACCTGTTTATTTTGTACACTAACATAACGGATAACCACACAGCAGGGGTTAACGTGTATCCTGTCACATTTGCCGTGCCACGTGCATCTGTGTGTGTAAACTTTATAACTCCTCTTTGCAGAAAGGCTTGAAATATCTCCACAACAAATACATTAAATAATCATTAGGAAAGTTCTTACTGTAGTGAGGGAGATCTGCTTCATTCTTGTTTGTCACTGTGCTGTTTATCTATGCTTAAGGTTCTCAACAGGCGGCCCACAAATGGCATCCAGCCTGATGCTCTTTAAAATGTGTCCCACAGCTGCCTCATAATGATGCATATAGTGCAGCATACAGTGAAGCACTAGAGCTGTAACGGTACATATATTCGTCCCAAACTGTCATAGTACGATGGTCACAATCCAGTTCACGTGCCCTCATGATGAATACAGAACATATTTACTAAGAACAAATTTTTCTGTTCGAAAACGCAACAACAGTGCTCACCAGTAGTTCTGCTACAAGTAAACAGAAGCATGCAACACTAGTCCCACCTCAGAGTTGTTCAGATTGATCCAATTCTCTGAAACTGACTGTAGAGTATGTGTGAAAAGTGTGTATCTTCACACAGCTTTTAACATGCAGTGCACGACAGGAATATAAATGGTCATGCGTGTCTGTAAACAATGTAAATATAAGGATATTGTTTCATCATGCAAGCTTGTAATAATGAATAATAATAATAATAATAATAATAATAATGGTGACGCAGTGGCACAGTAGGTAGTCCTGTCGCCTCACAGAAAGAAGGTCACTGGATTGCTGGTTCGAGCCTCAGCTCAGTTGGCGTTTCTGTGTGGAGTTTGCATGTTCTCCCTGCGGTCGCGTGAGTTTCCTCCAGGTGCTTCAGTTTCCCCCACAGTCCAAAGACATGTGGTACAGGTAAATTGGGTAGACTAAATTGTCCGTAGCGTATGAGTGTGCGTGTGAATGATTGTGTGTGGATGTTTCCCAGAGATGGGTTGCAGCTGAAAGGGTATCCGCTGCGTAAAAACGTGCTGGATAAGTTGGCAGTTCATTTCGCTGTGGTGACCCCAGATTAATAAAGGGACTAAGCCGAAAAGAAAATGAATGAATGAATAATATTAATTTCTTACATTTATATAGCGCTTTTCTCAAAGCTCTTTACACAGAGGGATCTCCTCATCCACCACCAGTGTGCATCATCCACCTGGATGATGCGACGGCAGCTATTTTGCGCCAGACCACACACCACACACCAGCTGATTGGTAGAGAGGAGACAGATACCAATAATGATATGGGAAGGGTTAGGATGGCATGATGGACAGAGGCCAGTGGGCAAATTTGGCCAGGATGCCGGGGTGAAGCCCTTACTCGTTTTCAAAGGACAGCCTAGGATTTTAACGACCACAGAGAGTCAGGACCTCGATTTAACGTCTCATCAAAAAAAGACGGTGCTCACTGAGCAGTATAGAGTCCCCGTCGCTATACTAGGGCATTAGGACCCACACAGACCGCAGGTTGGACGCCCCCTGTTGGCCACACAACACCACTTCCAGCAGAAAACTAGCTTTCCCATGTGATCTCCCATCCAGGTAATGACCGGGCGCAGCCCTGCTTAGCTTTAGTGGGCGACCATGTGAGAGTTGCAGAGAGCTAGCTACTCTTAAGTCAGTCGGTGACACATAATATTGCACAGTAGAGCTGCACAATTAATCGTAAACCCCCTAGACGATCTTAATCCAGCATTTCTACGATTCTGTCAATCATATTTTCAAGTTCAGGAGAGAAGAAAAGGCGGCTGCACGAGTCTTTTCATTGTTTCACGTACATTGCTCTGCGACATGGACACCTCCAAATGATGTTGAAAGAGTCACATACTGTATTTAAAAGGTATAATTCACCTAAAAATGTCATTTTTGTCTTCATATAATGCTGTACTCGCAGCCGGGAAATCACATGTGATGTGAGCTGCTGACCGTGAGCTGTAGGGCGGGCGGGCGGGCGCGCGCTCTACTAGACGCACACGCGTCTCTTTTAGTTAACAGAACCTGCATATGTTGTGAGTAAAAGTTAATAAAGTTGTAAATAACATTGAGTTTGTGGCACAGAGTGATCGTTTGAGAGCCGCGTGAGAAGTATGGAAAGCACTTAGCAGTGAAAATGAAACAGAAAGCGTGCACATCATTTAAATAATCATATCGCATTTTAGAGTTATGACTGCGACAAGCATTTGATATGTTTTTCCTTTCATAGCGAACACACAGTTGTGCATGAAAATACATGTTTACAGTGTCAGTATAACTACTCTAGCCTATATAATGATGATTTTACCAGTGAATTAAATGGTCTAATAATGTTGTCAATGATTGCAAGCATATGTCTCAAATATAATTCAACATCAGAATTATTATATATAATAATTAATATAATATTATTATTGTTGTTTTACCATATTTTTGAGAAAAAACAATAATAATTGCCGACTCATACTAAGCTTTATTTTACATCTACAGAATCGTGAGAGAATCCTGATCTTAAGCAAAAATAAAAAAATAAAATAAATAAAAAAATAAAAAAATAATAAAATAAATAAATAAAAAATAATTTAAAAAAAATTGCGATTCTCATTTTAACCAGAATCGTGCAGCTCTATTGCACAGCTAGATCTGCTGCATTAATGGAGACCAAGAGCGGGGAG